TGCAAGGTAGAAAGAGGGGGATCAAATGGAAAAGGAGGAGGAGGAGGGTGGCGGTGAGTAGGAATGAGATAGCACGAGACGGCCCCAAAGGGAAGTCTGTGTGACAGTGAAATCTCTGAGACTTCCTTCACTCAGCCTCCAATCTGTATGAGAAAATGGCTCCCACGTCTGTACGTTTGTATCCATGTTCCTCTTCTCTATGTCGTTGTCTTCATTTCTGTTTTCTTTTTTTCTGGTGGAGCGTCTCTTCCTCCTCCTTCCTCTCCTCCTCCAGACTCTTTCTGTGGACAGCTATAGCTCAAGTCTCTGTGCCAAGAAGGACTCTTGTTTCACTGGAGTCTCTGTTTCACGCCCTTTCCCTTCATCATGGCACCAGCTCTCTCTTTCACCCGAGGAGCTGTGTACATAGTAGTGCTGTAAAGCTTTGCTTGCTTGTTTACCTTTTTTTCCCCTTTTTTTTAAACTGTAGGCTGAGTTTAGATATCAGTGATTCATTGGAGAACTGACTGACCACTGCAAACTGATTTTATCTTCTTTTTTTAACTGGTTTGCTTTGTGTTTATACATTTGCCTGTTTGTTACATTATGCTTTTATTTTTTAAACTATAGCATTTTGGAAATGTTTCGCCAACACTAGATGTGCTTTTATTTTATTTTATTTCATTTTGAATTTTTTTGTTTGTTTGATTAAGGAAAAAATGTGAGTTGTCAATTATCAGGATTTATGTTGGTTGTACCTCCCACACTTTGTTGTTACGGGGATGCAAACGTGATTATGTTCAAATTTTCAAAAAGACAACAATGCCTATTGATAATTTTGCCACTTCATGCAGTAAATCATGACTTAGTCTGTGATATATTAGGGATAGCTATAAAAAAAAAAGAAAATGCAAAGCAGGCAGGGCTCAAGCCCACCAATAGTCAGTGCGCTGGCCCCTGATCTTACTAAGAAAAGACAAGGGGTCAATCCTTGACTACTGCTGTATGTTTATGTCTTACACACTGGCTATTCTAAAATAGGACTGCTACTTGCAGGCCAGCTTCATGCCCAAAGACAGCTTGTCCTGTTATACCAGGCTCTGTTTGGGCAGGCCTGGTCTGAAACAGGCTACAAGCCTCATATCCATGCAAGAAGAACTGTCCTCAGGGTTTTAGATGGTCAGCAGCAAAGAAACAAAGCTCCTGAGTATCAGCACTCAGAGCTGAGGGGGAGGGAGGTTTCAATTCTTGTGATGTTTTCACTCTATGTGGAGTACATAAAAAAAAAAGAATAACATGATGTGACTTTGTAGACTTTGCACTCGTCAACTACCTATCTGTGCATGCTTATCACCATTTCTACATATATGACCTTTCTCAGACCTACTTTTGAATACTAACTATTTATGTAAAAGGTCATGTGGCAACAATCATACTTTCAGTGTATATCAGATGACACACTTAATGTCTGTGCGAGCTGGTTCTTGAGAAACAAAGGGAAATGGTCCAAAGCAGTATGATTCCCCAAAAGGAACAAAATGCCATCATCACTGGACCTAATAATAACTTCCTCTGTTAGTTTAAAGAGTTGAGGGTAAAAAAAAAAGTACAAAAAAAAGGAGAATCGTCTGACTGATATTGTCTGTGTTTAAAATCAAATAGACTGTGGTGAGATTTTGCACACAACTTCTATGTTAAGTTTGTCGTCCCTGGGTAGCCCATTTGAAAACCCTTACTCCCTGGGGTTGACATGTCCTTGCCTGTACTCTCCTGATTTGTCTTGCCTTCAGACTGCTCCAGTGGGGCAGCTGACAGGGGTAATATTGGTTTTCACAGCTATGACTGTGCAGTGACGCAGCATGCCTATGTATAGAACTTGATTCCCCTGGTTAGAAAAAGACAAAAAAAAAAAACAACAGTTAACTCTCTTGTTTCTGTAACCAATTCAGGACAAAAAAAGTTAAATAAAGGTGTCATATTTGTAGTTAACTTTTAATTGGATGTTGTGTTTTTTTCCTGATGACACATGGTAACAATAACAGCCAGGTATTATGGAAGAATAAAAAACTGCATGTGCTTTTCCCATTTTTGTCAAACCTTCGCAACGTTTCTGTCCATACAGATAAACCACTGAGTCATTGAATGTTTTTGCTTCTCATTCTGTAACCTAAAGCAGTTGGTTAGCCTAGCTTAGCTTAGCACAAACATGCGCAAAAAGGATGAAACCATTAGCCTGAACAAAAACGTATTCATGTGAAGTAATTTAATGAGATGCAACATGTTCAATTGTAAGCTTTAAGCATGTTTTTTGTTACCTTTGAACATGGACAGGCTAGCATAAAGAATTAGCATAGTCTTTATGCTAATTAAGCTAATAGGCATACAGATTCCATCTTTAACAGATAAACTACCCAATCAGACTCTTGACAAAAAATGTTCACTAATATCTGTAGCAAATCCTTGAATCACCCCTTGAATTCTTTACATTTTGCTTCCAGGAAGCTACTTTCTTGTAATATTTTAAAATTGTCTTGAGCAATAATTCTCCAAGTTCTTCTTTGGACACTGGTTGCTTTTTCACTCATTTAGTCCAGTCGTTGTACCTAACCATTTTCAGAGGAATTTTTTTGTTGTTGTTTGTTTTTGTTTGTTAAGCTACTTAACTCAACCTACAAGTAATTAAGCATTACAAAAGGCACCTAACTCAAAGGATGAACCAGAGGTTTGTCTATACATAACAGACAACTTCACAAAGAATTATTTTACAATTTCTTTAGGCATCTTTAGGCACTTTGTTACTATTGCAAAAACACATAATTAGTTTAAATTTCTTTACTTGAATCTAGAAAAAATGCAAAGACAACACAGTTTGACTGGCATAAAATATTATTTCTCAACCAACAAGGTGACTTACAAAGAGCTGTTAGCTGAACATTTGGCATATCCCAGTAGTTTGTAGTGTGTCCTCAAAAAAAATGAGAAAACTGGAGTGGATAGGAAAAAATCCAGCAAAGACCTCACATGTGAGCAATGCATCTGACCCTTGATCCATCTACCATTCACCAAAGCCTCATCAGAAAAATAAAGTTCCATCAGATTTTGAGCTACAATGCAATGCTATGTGGAAAGCATCTGATTGGCAGCAGCTACATTTTTTAGCATGACAATGATCCCAAACACAATGCCAGTGCAGTAAAACCATACAAATAGAAAAGCATTGTGGAACACAGTCCGTCATGGATTAGCCTCTCCAGAACAACTTTGTTGAAGCAGTGTGGGGTCATCTTCACAGAGATGATTCTTCAATGTGTTGAAGAATAAAGGGGGTTTTATAAAACACTGACTTTCATGCTCACCCCTATCCTGCACAGATTTCAATAAAATCATAGAATCTACTTCCCATTTTCCCAGCAAAATATAAAGAAATGAGGGGTGGCTCAAGTCTTTTGCACAGTATTGCATTTTCATAAATGCCTACTTTGTACTTTGATGATAAAGATGGAAATATGAGTCTGTAGTTTAACTTTGGGCTACATGTTCTGGGTATTTGTCTGTCTGACATAGGCTTCTTTAATACATTCAGTGCATTCATAAGATCTTTTTGTTTTTACATTTTAAATGTGTAAACAAAGTTTTAACTAACACATCAGCCTGGAATCACAACCCAGAACCAGTTGTTATCTGTCTATGCTCTGACAGCTTGATGCCGACACTACCTTCTGCTGCTGTGTGATCGGGTTTCAGTCGGGTACAGTTCTGCCAGACTTCATGGAGCTGGCTCCTCTATCAGATGTCCCCAGAATTAAATGGGCCGTTTTATCTCCTCACCCAGTGGCAGCTGTCTTCCAGGCATCCACATACCTGCAAAGGGAGATACATGACCCTCCCCATGACTCACTCTGAGGTGGTATGCTTCACTTGGTCAAGAAGCAGTTCATCATGAAACAGAAGATCAACCATCAGTACCCTCTCAGGTACGCTGGGTTTGTGGCGAGATGGAAAAATGCCAGGAGTGCACTTTATTCTTTCACTTTAATTGACACCCATAGTCAAGAGAAAACAGCTATAACCCGGACAGTCTTACAGGAAGAAGAACTGTAGAGTCACTTGAGCAGCAGTCTTTTAATTTTTGCAAATCAAATTTCATGATTTCTGAGGCTGATTCAAGATAAATATTTGAATGCCAACAGCTAGAAAAACAAACAGCTGAAGGTGGCAGACTCAATGGGGATGATGCAAAATGTGCGCCTATTCGACACATTAGGCAGAAGACCAAAACAGCAGTAGGAAAATACTCCTACTAAGTAAGAATAAACAAAAGTTAAATACACCTCATACATCTATTTTTATGGCGTTATTTCATGTTGTGCGTGTAATGAGTAGCCAAGCCATCCCATGTTTCTGTGGCAGAAATGTTAAGTGACTTACTGATTAACAGGGTTTTATTTTTTAATCTCCTCAGCTGTGTTATTATATAACTATACATATATATGCACATATTCTCATATGTATTGTTATACAGGGCAAATTTACTTTAACCCTTTAATGTAATAAAAATCTAAGCATAATATTAGAGATTATTGTTTTTTTGTCAGATAGTTGCCAAATACAAACCAGTGATCTAAGTGATGTTTTTCCAATTCTCTTTTATTCTCAGCTGTCTGACATGTCATTTCCTTTCCCGATAAACAGGATATAAAGCGGTGTGCCGTGTGCCGAGCCACCTTTGACTCTGGCCTCAATTTCTGGCTTGAATGGAAATGCTATGACCTCTTTTGTGGAGTGATGTCTATTGCTAAGGAAAGAGGAAAGGACAGATCAAGGAAAAATGGTTATCTTCCACTGAGCTGTCATCCAGAGGTGCGGAGAGAGAAATTATGACGCCCGTTACAAGAGGTTTCACTCCTGACAGTATAATATGTGAACCGTGCTATATGGTGTTCATTGGCTGGGTGAGACTCGTGAAGGGAAGTGATCCATCAAAAAGGCAATGAAAGCAATAAACTAATTAGACACGGATCTCAGACCATAAATCCTGGCCTGGCCATATCAAATTGGTTACAGGCATCTTTTTTATTCTTTTCTTTTTTTTCCTTAAACAGGGCTTGTTTGACTGATCACTTTAGGTCAATTTGACATCAGCCTAACAGAGTTTAATAGTGTTTAAACAGCAGAAAAAAAGCTTTTACACAAGGCTAATGATTCCAGTTACCAAGTCCCACCAGGGTAGCTCAGGTTGTGAGTTCCTAGTAGCGATGGAGACCCTGCGATTAGTTTGTTGGACACAGACAGGAAATTAGTCAGACATGTAGAGGCTACTTCTTCCTTGACGTGCAGGCTGGGTCTGAGCCACTCACCAGGCTGTGAGCTCATATGGGTGGTGGGTGTGTGGACCGCGGTGCTCTGGGGAGTGGGGGAAACCACCTGGATGGACACATTGTTTCCAGGCTGGGGGCTTTCTGGAAGATCTGTCATAGCCGAACCCACTGGAGACAAACAAGAGATGTTCGGATACGTTTTCCAGGCAAAAAAGATCCTTACAATCTTTTAGGAATTTGACAGATTAGCTCATTTAAATAACAGGTTAAAAAAATCTTGAATGTGTTAGCCTTTAAAGAATTTAGCAGAATTATCTGTTCCTTGCATAAAGGTTTTAATGATATCAAGCGAGTTCTTTTCAAGTGCAGTTTTTTAAGCAGAATAACTTGAAAAATTATGAACAGAACACGACTGAGACAAGTGCTGACACTTTCTCACTTTCACAGCTACAACGCTACTCTGGTTGCCTCTGCTGCTGCTGTTGTTGTTATCAGTCAGTAAAGAGTGACAGCTTTGACACTGTTAAAGTAAACATATCTATGAAAAACAAAAGCCGGTATCACTTTATAACAAATAATGCTATGAAGCATTATTAACGTATTAGTAAGGTATGTGTAGTTGCTTAATTTATCATTTATATAGCATTACTACTCTTCAGTATGCCATTTATAAATATAGATATATCATTATGACTAAAATTAGGATAATTACTAGCAGCGAAAGCTGTACACAGTGTAAGAGTAACAGATGGATAAACACATCTGTATTTATAAATGTCAAACTAAGGAGGACTAATGATATATAAATGATGAATTAAGCACTCGCTAATACCTTACTAATGCCTAATAGTATGACATTATTATCAAGTGCTACCCAAGAGGCTGTCATGGAGTGCAAATTACGGTATCGTTTGCCCCTCACTCCAACCGGTCATGGCAGATGGCCACCCCTCCCTGAGCCTGGTTCTTCCTGTTAAAAGGGAGTTTTTCCTTCCCACTGTCACCAAAGAGCCTGCACATAGAGGATCATATGATTGTTGGGGTTTTCTCTGTAGTATTATTGTAGGGTCTACCTTACAATATAAAGTGCTTTGAGGTGCTTTGAGGTGACACTGTGATTCGGTGCTGTATAAATAAAATGGAATTGAATTGAACTGTTTTATTTACAAGCTAATTATTGAAAAAGTGTGATGGAATTGCGGTTTTGGAAAACTTTTTTTTTTTTTTTAAGATTTCAAAGTGCATCCGTACATATAGAGAATCCAAATATGCAGTGATGGAGCCCTTCAGTATTTTTTTGTTTTATCATCTGAGAATCATTTCCCTGATTCAGATCCCATGACTTATCTTTTAAAAAGCTGTAGTTTGGCATGGCGGGTGAAGAAAACCAAACCAAACAAAACAAAACAAGGGAGAAGGCCAAAACAATTAACAGATTTCTGTTGCTACTTAATTTCATGTTGATCTATTCAAAACAATGTCACCAACCACGTGATGTCACAAGCTGTTTTAACAGGGCTTAAACTGACGGTAAACAAGCACCAGTCAAGGACAGTCGAGGTGATTCATGAACTGCTGAGAGCTGCACCTGTCTAGTGCGATGTGACTTTTGACATATCAGTGTGTGCATGTTCTTTGCTCTTTGCCTCATTGTTTTTCTCTCCATCTCTGACTAATTCTGATTTCAGACTATGAAGCGGCAGAGGAGGTATTGTACGCCGGCTTTCTCGGGTCAAATGAGATGAGCACAGCTGTTGTGGGACTTAAAGAATGAGCGTACAGTTGGGAGGGGAGCTTCCCTAAATTATTTCTCGCTCTCTTTTTAACTCTGCAAGTGCACCAAACATGGGTCATTTATGTGTCACAGTGCAGGAAGGCGACTTCTATAACATCCAAAAAACAAAAACAGAAGAAGCCGGCAAACAAACTGCAACTTCTGTCACTTTCTGTCTTTTTTGTTCTCTCCAATTTTCATCCATTGTAGACTCAGTTGAAAAGGTTGGAAAATGGTTTCCATGCAGACTGACAGTCTGGACAGACGCTCATGCACTCTCTTACGCATGTACACCCATCCCCAGGCCCCCAGCTAGAATGTCAGGTCAGCAGTAGCAGCAGCGGCGGCGGTTAGCAGTGGCAGTGTGGCATGGCTGTCACACGCCCGTGGAAGAATGTTCGTCGGCCGCAGAGAGCGCCTTTGTTGTGTGGAATGCGTCTGTGGAAACAACCTGTGCTCATGATGCCACTGTTCTTTGTTTCTGAGCGACAAAAACTGAAACACTACCATGACTAGCGTTATTAGAGGGTGCGTGTGTTTATCATGACACACCGCCACACCCCCGTCAGATGGGCTGAAGCACGCCTCAGTGTATGAATGCTCCTGTATCTGGGTTAAATGCGAAGAGCAGAATAGATTAAATATAGATGTAATTGCTTCTTGAGGGTTTCTTTTTTAAAAACTATTTTCGTATATTATTATCATTATTATCATATATTATTATTTTACAAAGCTTACATCTGGCGGTTATTTTTATCCTCCCATCTATAAAAAGTTCACCACAAAGTGCAGTAAATTATCAGGCAATTACACAGATTAGAGCACCAAACAGAGTAAAATGTAGAGATTGTAATTATTTATGGATTCATTCAAGAAGACAATTCCCAGTATTGCTCCAAACAGTGTGATGTTGACACACATCCATCCCTATTTATTTGTGGGTAGAAGATGAGTGTTGCCTCGTTGAATATATCAGTTCCCTAAGGGGGAGACAATACGACAACATTACTGTTGAGCTGTCTGTTGTAAGCACGGTGTAATCGGATTTCTTTCCTTCTGTGTCATTAGTCCTATTGTGCATGTAGGAGTTGCACCTTCTGTATCCTTATTATCGAAATGTTTGAAATCATTTACGTGGATCCGCTGGAAAAGTAGACAGCTGCAACAATGCAAAGTAGAGAGAAGCTTCTTTTAGTCATCTTTTGTTCTTTGCCATGTGTTTTGATTTTTCTGTCCACTTGCTAACTCATTGTGATGCACCATGATGGTACAGCGTTCCAGCAGGCGCGTGGAAAAATAAATACAATGTCCCTAAAAAAAAGACCAAGAATCTACCCCCGCTAGCTGCACAAAGACAGACAACTATTCGCACACATTCAATCTGGAAGCGCCAATTAACCTAACTGCACTAAGTGTGTATGTCTTTGAGTGTGGGAATAAGCTAGAGTACCCAGAGATAACCCACAAAGACACAGGCAGAACATGCAACTTTGCATGCAACACCCCAACCAGATTGCAGATTCAAACCAAGAACCTTTTTGCTGTGAGGCTAGAATTCTGATCATTGTGCCACCATTGCTGCTCTGCTGTTTGATGCATATTCAAAAAAATGTGACTTGATTTGCATTTTTAGTAACTTCTGGAATCAGCAGGGGCAGGATGCACCTAAAGGTGTTTTTAGCTATGCTCACATGCTGAAGAAGATGAAGCGAGGACAGCAAAAGCTACACATGGATGATGGTGCATTTAGTGGTCTGCCCCCAGTTGTTTGTAAGAAAGGTCTGGGTCTGCACTGCAGGCAGGCTGTGTTTCTTCTACTACAGTGCTGGCACAGTGCTGTTATAGAGGCAGTATGTGGTTTGGCATTGTTTTGCTGAAATATGCAATGGGAGAATGTGTTGCTCTAAAACCTGTATATACCGTTTAGTATTGATGGTGCCTTTCCAAATGTGCCAGCTGCCAATTTCATACACACTGATGGGACCCCCATGCCATCAGAGATGCAGGTTTTTGAACTTAGCACTGGTCTTAAGCCGGGTGGTCCCTCTCATCTTTAGTTCACGGGATGCGCTGTCCATGTTCCAAAATAAATGTCCAATTTCAGTTTGTCTGACCACAGAGCAGTTTTCCATTTTTTCTCAGTCCATTTTAAATGAGCTTTGGTCCAAAGATGACAGCAGCATTGTTGGGTCATGTTCATATGTGGCTTCCTTTTTTTGATGATGGAGCTTTAATGTTTCTTTCATGTCCATCAAAGAATCATGCCTGTTTTTAATGCCTGGGTGACCTGAAGATCACAGGCATCCAATGCTGGTTTTCAGCCTTGTACCTTGTACACGGAGATTTCTCTTGATTGAAGTCTTTACAATTTTACATTTAGGAACATTATTCTAAAATTGGTCCACAATTTGTAGAAAGAGTTTTTGGTGAACCTCTGCCCAACTTTACTTCTGAGAACCTCTGCCTCTCTAATATGTTCTTTTTAGACCCACTTACTGACCTGCTGCCAATTAACCTAATTAGTTGCAAAATGCTCCTCCAGCTGTTTTTGTTTAGCACCGCTTACTTTTCCAGTCTTTTTTTCCCCAACATCGCCAATTTTTTAAGATGTGTTGCTGTCATGAAATTCAAAATGAGCTAAGATTTACTTAAAATGGTACATGTTATACCTCATAGGAATGTTAGTAGGTTACTCTGCAACCATCCTGACATTTCAGTCTATGTCCTGTCAAAAAAAATACAGCATTAAAATTTGAAATAAACACTTGACCATATCATCTATTTAAAATGACTTTTTGATAAAGGAGTTGTTGTTTGAGTCCACTGTATACTCAGTTTGTTTTGGTATCAAATTGGGTATCTGTATTGGTATTGTGGCATCCTCATTGGTGACTATATCAGTGAATTCAGCTCAGTATGCTAATTTGTACAAAGCACAAAGATGATAAGAATTTCATTATACTAGCCAAAGGTATCAAGCGTATGGTGATGTTAGAAGAAAAAAGTTGGAGGTTCTCCAAAGTTCTTTGGCTTCTTATGAAGCCCCCACAGAAAATCCTGTTTGTGTGCTTTTTTTTTCTATTCTTTATTACAAATAAATTTCTTTAGCTGAACTTTGCAACAGTCGTGTTTTTTTCCCTGCAAGCCTACTTGGATTTAAGAAAGTGCATGTACAGTGTACCACTCTGTTCTTATGCAAGCTTCCAAAGACAACATGTAGTCATCATCCTTTAACTCTAATGCTTGTCAGTCACAGTGGACATGGGTCTGCATTCTCAGCTGCTCTTCCCTGTCCTTCATATGTGCACAGTGCACACACAGACACACACACTCGCCACAGGCAAAGACGTACACATCACTTTACCCTCGTCTCAGACTTCATCCCCTTCCCCTCTACACTCTGTTACTCCACTCTTTCCACACATGAATCCCCCCCCCCCATCATCTGCCGTCGCTGTCACACAAGCGTAGCCTGAGCCCTCAAGACATTTTCTTTCTCTTTTTCATTTGCAATCTTCTCTCTCAATTACTTACTTTCTCCCCATGTCTGCTTCTCTTTCTCCGTCACTGCCCTCATTCTCTCTGTGTGTCACCGCTCCCAGAATCCTCATCTTTCAGCTTTAAAAATCAAAGCCCTGTTGGCGTGAATATCTCTGCAGCCGTTTATATGTGTGAAACTCTATTTGTGCACAGGCTGACACACCGCACTGTATGCGTATTTATTTTTGGAAATCTGAATATTGTATGGACTGATTTCTATGCAGTCTAGTACCTTTGTATGAATATCAGCAGCTTTTGTCAGGCACTGAAGAGAATTTGATAGTAGTAGATATAATGCTACTAGCAAGCCTGAGGGCTGGCATTCAGTGATATCATCTGAGTGTGTGTGTAAGTGTATGTGGGCTTACCTCGTCTCTCTTGTTTCGCCCAGAACTGCTTGACAGTTTTGCCAATGTCACGGGTCTCTCTCAGTTTTTTCTGCCACTGGCGCATCTCCTGAACATCTGGCTGTGCCCTGATCTATAACAATCACAGGACACGTGCAAAGGGCGCACATGCATAAATTCACATGAGCAAACATCATCAATAACTTAATTGAGCCACAAGCTAATCAGTGTTAGTAAGCTGTTAGGACTGTTTAAAGAAGGTTATTTAGAAAGTCTGTTACAGTATATGCTTTAGTTACTAACATTAAGAACATTTCCAGGGAGGGTTAAGTAAATAAATGTTCTTTTTAAATGATTATTTCATTTATTATTGGAAAAAAATATCCAAACCTACCTGAATTTTTGTGAAAAAGCCACTCCTTAAACTAGTTGTGCCACACTTGGCAGCAAGAACTACAGTCACACTTTTGCGATAACTGGCAAAGAGTCTTTTTCACTGTGGAGGAATTTTGGCCCACTTTTCTTTACGGAATTGTTTTAATTCAGCCAAATTGGAGGGTTTTTATGAACAGCCTGTTTAAAGTCATGCCAAAGCATCTCAATCAGATTCAACTCTGGACGTTGACTAGGCCACTCCGGACATTCTACTTCAGGATTTTCTGGTACAGAGCAGAATTCATGGCTCCATCAATTGTGCCAAAACCTGCTTATGTAAGCCATTTGGTCAGATCTTCATGCAAATATGTGGTCCAGTAATACTGATTGCACTGTGGTTGAAACACATACTGCAACTTACACATCTTGCCTACACCATGCTGCAAAAATAAATGAAAACAATAAGCCAAGCAAGTGATAAAATCCTATTTCCTATTTTAAATTTAATTAATTAATTTTAATGCATTTTAAAATGTTAGGCCTTACTATGAGATTAATGAAGAGCTTCTAAGGATTCACAGGAACCCTGATTCAGCCTAATCCAGGCTGTATGAATTATGCTTCTGTTCTTGGATGAAACTCCTGCAGCTGTTGTGTTTGGTTTTGTGTGTGTGTGTGTGTGTGTGTGTATGTGGGCTGCAGGACTTCCTGAAAGATTACCGAGCAAGTTTGATGTTGCAAATGTGAATAAAATATCTGTAAAGGGCTTCACCTCCTGTTCATATTTATCCCTCCTCCTTCTATTCTTCTCCCACTAACTAGTCCTCCTACTCCTCCTTTTTCTTTCCTCTATGCTCTTTGTACTCAACCATCTCTGACAGGCTTCTTTCTTCCCTGGGTGGTAGATCTCTCCTCAGATACTGTCTTTCATACTAACACATTACTCTCCCTTGATTCCCCAACACATCAGTATTTCTTCCCTCTCCATCCACCTCTCTTCACTCTGAATTCTCTCCCACCTCTCTTCTCACCAGTCTCCTTTCACTCTGCTCCATTCAACCCCAACTTTCTCCTAAGTGCCTGGTTATGTGGCAACAAAAGTGTTGCTATTGTACAAAAGTGGGTCTGTTATATAAGCCTGGTGATAGGTTTAGGAATGGGTAAAACTAGAGCGCTCCAATAGTTCATTCACGGGGTGTCACAGTGCTGCAGCAGCCTCTCTGCTGATGGGAGCAAACCATAGAAATGGAAATGAGGGGTGAGGGTCAGAGGGAGGAGGGGTGGTTAAGTCTGTTGTGTTTGCTCACCATCGCTTGTGTGCTTTATTTGTGTCTGTGTGCCATTTCTTCTCTGTCACTCTTCACTGATGTCCTCCATAAATCTTGTATTCTCCCTTTCTGCTTCTGATGCTGTCAGCTTCTCCGAAATGATGGAAATGGAGCAAAAATCAAAGTCAGTTCTTGGAAAGCTGACTTTATGAATACACTAGCTTTCTGCAGGATGCTGACAGCTTGTGTATGACAGCAGGAGACAAAGGGCTGAGTTGTGTGTGTGTGTGTGTGTGTGTGTGTGTGTGTGTGTGTGTGTGTGTGTGTGTGCGCCTGAGTTTTCTGAAGCCTGTCTGTGTGCATCAGCACAGCTGATTTGCAGGGCTAAGTTATTTTGACCCTGGGCACGAAGCCTGGTTAAGAATGTTGACGTTTTACTTGTACTGCGTGTTAGAATATATGCATCTCAACTTCATCGTTTTTCACAGTTATTTATACTCATTTGAATTCTTAGTGAAACTTCGCTAACGCATTATCTTCTTGATATAATCATACGTGCTGATGCACTGCTCACGTGGCAGAGCCTGGTTTTGTGTGCATGTGACTCAGTCCTCTCATGCTGTATGTTTGCATGAAGGCTGGGATTAGAGTGATTAGAAAAATTACCGAGACACTGCAAGGGCCACTGTTATCACACACCACATTATCCACAATTGCATACAACATTATGGTGTGCACGCACACGTTGCAGTCTCGTAACTCAGCCTTTCAAGCTGCATTCCTTTCCAGTGTAAAGCTGACTGTGAGACTGAGCTCCTCACCCGGGGAAGTGGCTGCACGACCAAGTGCATAAAGACACAGCCACAGTCTGCTTTATTTTCCCTTCACACTCCACCCATCCATCATCTTTGTGTTCACCACAGCTTCCTTCAAGGCTTAACCAGCCCAGTGACCTGTGGCCTGTATTCATGCCCCTGTAGACTGAGTCACAATAAGCAGTTGCACTGCCACCCTACTGTCCTAAAGGTAAAAAATACTTACATTTAAATAAGAACTAAGACAAATGTAGGCACAGATAAATGCACAAGTGAAAATATGAGACATCAGCCCATTTACAGGAGGGTAAGCAAGGACCAAGCCTGAGACATATCTTCTGCATGAGTGTCACTGCACGTGGTACATCAAATTGACTTAACAGCGAACCACATTTAAAACCATTCATCTATTGCTGCCCTTGGACCATTGAACTGGAATCATAGACCTACTTCTACTGTTGACTATGCAGTACTCTGGGGAGGGGCAAATGTGTGTGTGTGTGTGTGTGTGTGTGTGTGTGTGTGTGTGTGTGTGTGTGTGTGTTTCTTTCAACCAGCTCTATTCGTTTATGTCAGGAGGAATACAACTCAGCAAGTGCCCCATTTCTTAATATCTGGAGCTGCAGTACAAGAAGGAAGGAAAGGTCTATTAAAAGGCCTATGAGAAAGAACGCCGATGAAACCCAAGATTTTTGCTATTCTGTTGAATTAATTCTACTTATGTGGTGCCAATTTACAACAACAGTCACCTCAAAGCACTTTGTATAAAAATGTCAAGACCCAAGAGAGAAATAGAGAGAAAACACTTTTGAAAAGTAGCACTCCATTTTCACAAGCAGAGACGTCAGGCAGAACCAGGCTCAGGAAGTGGCAGCCATCGACCACGACCAGCTGCCGGCTGGGGATAGAGGTGACAGATAGGAGAGGAAAAGTAGAGTAGGAAAAACGACACATTCTGGAAGCAGACAAAAATTAATGCATGAGGAATGTAAAAAAAGGGAGTATCAGTGAGAAAAAAGATGTATGAGCCTTTTAAAAAAGTTTTTAAGATGACATCATCAATTGTTAATAAAATACACTGCATGTGTTCACACTCTGCATACGGAGTTAGCATCGGCTAAAACAGTGTTGAAACATGCACAAGAAAGAACGTTTTTCACTGTTTGGTTGCAAAGTTGTATAAAGCCTACTATATGTCATATACGTGGTACAGTGTATACACTGCATAATGACACCAACGCTGTCTTGGACTGGACAAAGCTAGAAGTACTCTGGCTGGTTGCAGCTAGCTAACTAACTGCCTTACATCATCCTTCACTAGAAAACATCAAGTTAACTTTTTACATTTTAGCCATTCTAAGTGTCACAAAACCAGATTTATCCAGGAGGTGGTCATTGGGTAACAAGATAGGGCTGGCAATTAGTTAGCCAATGAATGCCGAATTTCACGGTCAGCTCTGGCCAACGCTTATCACATCTGGTTTCAAAACAACAAAATCATGACAATGAAAACACTTCGAAGTTTCAAAATAGGACAGGTGATGTCACGGTGGCTACATCCTTGTTTTATACTGTGTGTGGTTGTATCAGACTTTTCATCTACCAAACTCTCCAGTGGAAATCAACTGATGGTATTTGTTTCAAGTTTTCACTACAGAAAAAGGACCCTCCCCCTCCCCCCAAAAAAACTGACTTAGGTTTGATTTTTTCTTTTTTTTTCCAGTCAGATAAAAGGTGCGCTGCAGCTGAGATAAGGCCAGCCACATAAATAAATCTGCAACTGGAGCCAGTGGAAATGGCAGTGATGATGATAAAGGGCAAAGCTACCAGACCACAACCCACTAATATTGACAGTCTAATTGCAATGGGAATTTATTACACTACAGCCACACTACTCTAGCTCAGCTGAATAATCCTGAGAAGTCTTAGTGATCAGAGGAGACTGTGTATGTGTCCATGCTTGCACATCAGTGTGCATTAGAGTAGCAGGCATGGATGAATGGATTATAGTTAGGTTAAGGTACACGGTGTAAAGAAGATTATATAATATGTTTAGACCTAGGAGCTCTTAACAGTTATACGTGAGTGAAACAAAAGACAAACGCACTGTCTGGGTCATGAGTTTGCATCTGTGTCTATGTGTGTTTGTGTGTGCGTCTGTGTGCACTCCAGCACTGCTCTGCTTCAGCCCTCAGCGTTTTGATGAAAGAGATTAATAATGGAGGGATAAAATTCCACTCTACAAAAATACTCTCATGCCCCTTCCTAGTCTTCAGTCTGTCTGTCTTTCTTACCAGAACACTCACGCACACACGCACGCACACACACACACACACACCCTCTGCAGTCAGCGCTGCGTCAAGCTGGTTATATAACAGCCGAGGGTGTAAGTGTGAGGGGGGGAATGGGGTGCGTGTGGAGGCAGATGGGGGTGAAGTGAACAGAGTGCACTGATCTTATACTGACTATATATTACAGGAAAATCCCACAATCCTATTATGCTCTAATAAACTATCCTCAAGCACATAAAATCAGACAGAGAGGCAGATTTGAGTGAAACATTCCTTGGAATTCTTTACTTAGAAATTAGATTTGTGAGCTACGACATCTTGATTGCACGCTGGTGTAAGAATAATTCTGTAACAGTTATGTTTAATGATCCCAGTAGAAGTTTAACAAGGCACTGGTGCTTTACAGTTCACTCGGTTTGTGCTGACGTGCTGGTCCCTCCTCTGCTGCCCACTCCGCTGTTAACTGCCGTTTTTCTCAAGTCAAGGTGAGAGCAGTCGAAACACACTACAGTGCCTGTCAGGACCAAACAAAAATTCTGCTCCGCTCCATGTAGCCTAAATAAGTCATGATCCTAGAGGCGTCTTCCAAGAGGCCAACACTCAGCTGCAGACCCTGATTGTGCTGCATCTCTCTCCCTTTTCCCACCCCCTAGAAGAACTGCATCTTCCTACTCTGACACCACTTTGCAACATCAGCTCGCCTCTTTCCTCCCGTTTGCCATCCATGCGAAAGTGTTCCAAACATAGACCAACCATCATCCTTCCTCATAATCCTCCCATTCCCTCACTCTGTCTCTACCCACTCTCTCTCTCTCTTTCCCTGAATCCCTTGGGGTGTTCAGCTGCAGTCCTATCAGTGGCCCTGCTGAACCTCTTATTTCAGGGTAAACATACAGCAAGGAGTGACAGACAGCTGGCTCACTGCTGCCACCACATGTGGGCAGAGATCAATTAGATTTTGTTGTTCATGGAGAAAATAAAAAAGGCAAATAAGAGGGAGTGCTGCCCTCTGCTGGTGCCCCAGCAGTTCACGACACACATTCGATCCATCTTTTTTTATGCCCGCATCCACACTTTTATCTTCAGGCCCACATGTGCAAGAACATTTTCAAATCATTCAAATGTAATGCAATTGTCCACGTCGGTGCAGCTGGCAATTTTCCTCTCAGTGGTTTGTGCAGCCACACTAAGGCTGAATCCTCCCACAAGCACTTCGGATAAGAAACGCACAAAATAAGAGGTTCTGTCAAGACAAACAAAACATGACCCTTGCTTATCCTTACACCACAGGAGCTGGCGTTTATCTGTGTGTGTGTGCGTGCGTGCGTGTGTGTGAGGGAGAAAGAGTGACAGAGAGAGATGCTGCTGTTTGCCTCTGGAAGTGTCTGTGCATATCTATTTATATCACAGCACAGAGTGCTTCAGACCACAACACCCACACAGGAGGGATTTAAAGCCTGGCATCACTGATGACATAATCAAGCTGCTGAATGAAACTGCAGCCCCTGTGGAAGAGGGGGCTCTTTAAGGGGATGGGATTATACAACAAGACTGACAACAACAAGACTGTTGGCCGATGCACGCTTAGCGGGAGCCTATTGTAGCCTAACAGACACGCACATACACAGGGTCGCTGTGCTCTTGTGGGATGATTGCCGGACTCCTACACACTTTCTTCTTCAAAATGTTATCTTATGTCCACACTGTGAATTCTTTGATGAGTTTGTGAAGTTGGTCAAGGAGGCAAAGCTAAAGTTGTGTGTCAGTGAAATGTAAAATGCATCCAAGACTATGCAATGCAACCTCTTCATTCCATAAAACGTCCCTCAGTTCTTAAAGTTTAGGTTTCCTGTTTATTTTTTCACACTTTTTGGTGCTTTTCAGACCTGTCATTCTGCAAACCCCAGCCCTCTTTATAAATGTTGGGACAGAAAGCCTGTAAAAAGCACTCAGCTTCCAGTCATGTCCAACATACCTTGTATCCTCTCCAGAAAGCCTGGATGAGCAGAGCAGCCTCGCACTCAGTGAGCCGCAGAAACAGAGGAGTGGGCGGCCTGGGACTGGAGGATGGAAGGAAATGGAAAAGAAAGAGTGATGAGACAAGAAAGGAGAGCGTGCATGGAGTTTTTGTGTGTGTGTGTGTCATAGCTTATAGTTGCTTTGTGCTATAAACCATAGATGTCAAACATATTTTACATCGTGGGCCCATTACATCCCACTTTGATTTTAAAGTGGGCCAAACCAGTGAAACGTGGTGTTGTAAGATTGGCCGTGGGGGAGCTCTTTATCATGCTGCAAAACGTTGGAAGATAGAATTAAAAGTCCTAAATTTATGCTCACCTTCACATTTTCTAGAATTGCCCATTGGGCCAGATTGAAGTCTTTGGAGGGCTGATTCTGGCCCTCGGGCCTTATGTTGGACACCTCTGCTACAGACACTGGATTAAAAACTGTACACTGTATGTTTTTGTACAATAACTTCAGTACATGTTATGAAAATTTCACGTTATTTTACAAATACTAAAGCTAAGAATATTCCCTTGAAATGTTTATTCTATTTTAGTCAGTTTTGCAACTTCTAGCATTTTTATTTTATTCTCGTTTACTAAAATGTTTTTTCACACCCAGTTTTAGTTTCGTCTTTGTTAGCTATAATAACCATGGTGTGCAAACTGAAGAGATACTCACTGCATCCCAAGCCAGTCCTTGACAAAGGGGATGTCATGAAAGCTCACTGGTTCCTGTCCACTCCTGCGAGGGTTATGGCTGAGGAAGGATAAAAACGTGAAACGTGCAGTGTTTCACATACACAGCACTTTCAATGTGACATCAGAGAGAATCTATGTGGTGAGGTGAGGGTAGTACTACAGAGTGCAGAGTGAGGTGTGTGTAGGAGGACTCTTACTTGTAGAGCCACTCAGTCAGAAAGTCACATGGGTTAAACGCTGTTATTTTCCTCTGAAATAAAAAAGAGACTGCCCTACATTCAGCATCTCCCTTGACTATAAAGCACAACTATTTCAGCAGCAAAATGTACAAGCGTTAAAACAACAAAGCTCCCATTTTGGTGTCTGTCAGCACTGAATTGTTTTTTAGATCCCTCTACTGGTTAATTATTCCTGTACAGCATTTAAATTTATCAGACTGCCACCCAATGTCAGGTTCATGGCACAGATGCACTAAACTAATTACTCTTAAATATTAAAATATTATTGCTGTTATCCGTGAACTTTCAAATTTACCATTTTCCTAAAGAAAAGCAGAAAAAAACAATAAAATTAATTATTAGCTTTTGATTAAGATGTCAAATTATGGTTATTTACTTCCTGAACAGAAAAAAAAATATTTTAGTGGTTGATTTTTATCCTTGATTAATTTCTGATTTCTCAGAGGTCCAATTGTAGGATTACAATTGATTTTTATTAAAGACACTTAGACCTTAAAGCAGCCATTTTTCTGGGCTTCTCTTAGCAAAGCCTCCAGTCCAGGTACCAACACTGGAAACACTTTCTTCTCCAAGAAACGCGTGACAGGATCTGACACAAGCACAACATTTTAAAGACAGAGAATTATAATGATGGCAAATATGTATTAATACTTACAGTTTCACATTACAGGGAGAGCAGCTATGTATCTTACTTTCAGGGACTTGGGGAAAAGGTGTAGTTTCAGCAGTTGGGGGGCGATTCTGCCGTGAAGGATGAGGTCCTTCTAATGCAGAGTATCCAGGGAGAGCACAGCAAACATCGGGCTCAAAGTCTCTGAGAAGATCATCCATAAGTACCTAACCAAAGCAATCATTCAACTTTCATGAACAATTTAGACTTCAAAAATAGTTTAAAAAATAATTTATTTTATAGTTTTCTGTTATAAACCATATAAAAATAGAGGAGCTATTTTGCACTTCAAGCAATATTTATAAACCCCCATCAGTTAGGTTCACATTTTGTCTCAGGGCAGCTGCAATTTACACATCACATGTATGTGTTAGGGTTTTGCGCATGACGGAGAATGCATTTGAATACCCAGCTGGCCCAGTTATCTCAAACGAGGCTGACACAGGATCCAGATTAAATCCCACAGATTTGTATTTGCACACATCACGTCGTCTGTGTGTACTTACGCTGTGCCGGGAGAGCTGGGTGCTCACAGAGCTGGCCTCTGTCCACGCAGGGCTGGGACCGCTGTGCTGTTCGGCCTCAAACTCTACAAAGACACAGTGAACACGTGAACCTTTGTTTTTCTGTTTCACCACAGGGACAAACAGATCAGGCCGTACCTTCACACATTTTCTGCAAAAATTATTTCTTAGTACAGATGATCTCTGCCATTATCTATGTTAACTCAAGCGGTTGCCATGGAGTCACCGGTAGGTGTGCTCACGTGACTTCCGGTGTAAACAAGTCCGACACAGCGAAAATATACTGAAACGATGCAATGCATAGAAAATAAACCGAGTCGGGGAGGGGGGGTTGGCCCTAAAATGCTACTGCTGCTTTTGTAGTTCTCATATCTTTGTTTTAAACTTTCAGCTGTTGCAAAATTAGGAAAATGACTTCTAGTTTCCATGTAACCACTGGAGGGCAGCAGATAACTACCCACATGTATCGATCATATAACTCTTAGATTAATGATAGGAGTTAAGGAGAAATAATCCTATAAAGGCGTATTTACCTAACAATACTGCGAGACTCAGAAAGAAATAGCTCAGCAAAGACACACTGAATAATGGCAGTCACTAAATAGTATGCCGTGTTTTTTAGTTTGTTTCCTAACAATAATAAAGGAGTCAACGTGCGTAAAAAAAGAAGACGACCGTTTTTGAATAATAAAGTACTATGCAAGTTTTGAGAGACCACTCATTTCTATAAATTTTGCTTCCAAGGAGACAGACTTTCTTGTACAGGTTATCAGAAAGTCTTTCAAAGCTTTTCTTTAGACACTGGCTGCTTTTTCACTAAACACAGACCTATGATTCATTCACAAACCTAACTCCAGGGATGAACCAGAGCTGTGCCTACAGTCGATTCTAAAAAATGCCAAAGATAACACAGCTTATAGCATTTTTGCACCAGCAAGGTGACTCCCAAAGAGCAACTGGCCAAAACTTTCTATCTGTAAAATACAGCAGAGGCCCTGCCCCAGTCTGGGGTCAGTTTCAGCCAATGATGTTGAAGATCTTGTCAAAACTGATGGAATTATGAATGCAGAAAAGTACAATCAGATTTTGATCTACAATGCAATACCATCTGGAAAAAAACTTGGCAGCAGCTTCATTTTTCAGCATGACAATGATCCAGAACACACTGCCAATGCAGTACAAGCGTACTTGGATGGACAAAAAAAAACAAAAAACCAAAGACACACAGACACACAATGAAACACTATCAGTCATGGATTGGCCTCCCCAGAGCCCAGAGGTCAACATTATTGAAGCAGTGTGGGATCATGTCGATAGATAACAGAACAAAAGGCAGCCAACATCCAAAGAAAAGCTTTGAATGTCCTTAAAGAAGCCTGGAGAACTATTCCTGAAGACTGATTAAACAAAATTACAAGAAACCTTGGCTCAGAGAGATCAGGTGGTCATACCAAATATTGACGTTCAAGCTCATTAGAACTGTGCAAACTATGTTTTTGCCTCATACTCTATTTTTGCATTTCATGTATTTCTAATTTTCCTCTTAAAATATGAAGAGATGAGCAGTAAAGACTTTTGTACGTGATTATATATGCCTCAAAAGTATTAAGGTAAAACACATGCATATTATTTTTGGTTAACTCAGAATTACTCAGGCCTGTTGATCCTCAGATTTTTGCGTGTAGATGCTCCTGCTAAATGATGATGTAAAAGATCAAACAAACAACAACATATTTACTTAACCGTTTCCGCTGTGAATATAAACGAGGAAAAGTTAGAGCTCATCATAGTAATTTTTAGGCATGATGTATTTATTTCTTCAAAATTAAAGTCTTTATTGGAATATATTCCAAAGCAGTTAAGTCATCTCATGACTGAACAAAAATAGCCATTTATCTTTAAAAAAACAAAACAAAACAAACAAACAAAAGAACTAAGATGGTTCCAAAATGCACTGAACAGCTTTTAACAAAATATACATTGCAGGAAGTCTTACCTTGCAGCCACTAATTGACTTGTTAATAAATAAGATTGTGAACAAAAGTCTTTTTTTTTCCTTTTTACACATAACAATTTAGACTTTCCCGTATTTTGAACCAAAATTGATGAGAGAACCCTTAATTTTAAAGAAATTGTGAAGACCCGTGCCACAAACATTTGTCTAACAAGTTCTTGCAGAGCACCCTCTAAAATGAACACCCCCAAAAATCAAATCAAAGAAGTAAAACACCACGAGTAACAGAAGAAATAATAGTAGTACAATAATAATGACAGGATATTGGTTTTTTATAAAGCAACACTGATAAAAGGAGATATTATAAAGGATCAGCGCATCAGCTATCAACAATAAAATATACAGATTACATTCCTTCAGGGTTTTCAGAATAGTGGGAGCTCATGTGAGGAGGACGATTAACTGAGCTAGAGGGAGACAGTGAAGCTCTTCTTGATAGAAGCAGAACAGAAAAAGCGAAATTATTGACAGGAGTAGTTCAACATTGGTAATTTCATGGTGTAAAAACTACGAGTCTCTACATAATGAGACGTATAGTGAGTATCCTCCTAATACTTTAGTCACATAGAGCTCAGGTCAGTGGTTTTATAATGTTGCTGTGTAGTTAAAGGAAACTTGCATCAAAGCCGCCGCTTCAGAAAACATTCAGCGCTTATCCATAGGCAGCATGTTCAGTTCCAAAATAAAAGTCTTAGTTATGGCTATATGGAAGCATGAAGCCAAGATTAGAATGTAGTGGATATAACGCATCGAGTGCAGACCTGCAGACTGCCCAAAACAGTTCTGTAGGAGTCACTGTGGAGACATGACAACAAATTGAAGTGACATGCCTGGATATCATCTCAGGCAAAGGTGCAGTGGTCTTCATCCTGAAAATAGTACTCTGATGTGAAACTTTTAAAAAATAAAAGTTAAACAGAGATAAGAAGAAAAATCAGACAGATATGGTGTGTGAAGAATTGGTGGAGATGAGTCTGTAACCCCGCCCCCCTCCTTATGTCAAGCATCCACCTTCTTGTTGAAGGTGTTGAGGAGGGACTGGTGGGTTTGTTGGCTCCCGCGAGCCTTGGTGCCCTCAGGGGTGGGGGCTGATTCAGTGCAAGAGGCCTTGAAAAGGGTACCAGTGGGACTTAGCTTCTTCTGTGGTTCAAATTCTCCCAATCTTTAACAGTCTTCATCCAAACTTTCCTGTGATTCTTTCAAAATTACGCAAAAAACTACGTTCATGACTCGGTCTGAGCACAATGCTTTAAACAATCCACATCTTCTTTGCTTTTCATACAAAAACATCCACAAACTTCCTGCAGAGTCCCTTCAGTTTTACGGGTTTAAGTCAATGAGAGCTATGTACAGATGGGGTGGTGCATCATATATAAGTGAGTATGGTTGTGGTGGTGGTTGGTTCAGTGAGGTCTAGGTTCTCCGTGGACTCTGAAGCGGTACAGGCAGGTGTATTCGGGGTGACCCCAGTTGGACAACACCCTCACTTCGATTATCTGGAACGTCTTGTCATTCTCCTCCTGAGGGGAAAAAAAGTGGAAGATTTCAGGAACTGCTGACAAACATTGAGGTGATTATTATTACTATTTTTACATTTCTAATCATGTTAAGAAGTGCCTCCAAAGTTACCATAACCGGGAAGATCTGCAGTGACTCCCCATCGTCCTGGTATGTGTAGTGTCCCAGCAGCTTTCCCTCTTCTTGGTACTCATCATCTAGACCCTGAACACAAACAAGCAGCCTGTGATCACCTGGGATGTTTGCTTTAGAGTAGAAGGTGTCTCATTACATGGTTTTCGTTGGTGTGTTTCTTACAAAGACTGTGAAGTTGCGTGGGGCGCTGGTGATGTTTCCAGTTGGGGAGAGGGTCTTGGGGATGTGCTCCACAGCAAAGGATGTGGGCAGGATCCTCAGGGACAGCCGGATCACCAGATAGCCCTGAGAGCCTTTAAACGCCCAGCAGTTTCCAGGATACACATCAGGCTAGTGGAGGAGTGAGAGAGACTGGCTTTTAGATCAGCAGATTCTATCTATTTACTGGTTATATTTGGTGCAACGCAACTTTATTCAGCTCATGGCGAGGCTCACCTGAATGACAACACGTGGAGACTGGGAGAAGTACCAGAGTGGCAGGCCAAACAGACTCATGAGGGCCGTCTTGGTTTCATAGGTCTCAGAGCAGCGGGTACTGAGGATGCTGCCACCTTAACACACACACACACACA